CAGCCCCAGTACCCGCGTTCCCCAGCGCTGGTCGGTAAAAGCAGGGAGTTCGTCCCGGATGAGATCGAGGAGTTCCTGATTTTTGGGGCCGGCAAGATCGAAGCGATCCGACGATCATCCCCGCCGGTCCAAGTAACATTGTCGGAAACCACTCCGCAGGACTTGATTGCCGAGTTCGGACCGCCGGATGCAATATACCGTAAGAACGATCGCAGAATAGCCATCCATCGCGCCGCAGGCTGTAGCGCTGGAGAGGACGCTCTGCACATGGGCCCATCCTCGGGGCGCGGGATCGATGTCACCGACCTGGATCATTCGTCTAACAATAGCGTGACCGACGACTCGGATGACGAAGCCTCCCAGGCTCCCACGTTGGATCCATCCTCTCTTCCAAGCGAGTGCTTCTTCAATTACTTCCATCATGGCTTTGATGCCTTCATTTCGTACCCTACCGCATCGGGCCCGGCCTTCCCTGGATCCGACCTCCCGGATCCAACCCCGCCTTCGCCGTCTTCCCAGCTGGTGGTGACCAAGATCATCTTGCATGGAAACGTGCCAGGCTCGTATCCATTCAATCGACACCGTCGCAGTCGCTGGAAGATCATCCACAACCCAGCCGACGACGCCCTCACATCTGAGACTCGCTACGAAGAGATCTCGGATCAACTGCGTTCGGTCTGGAAGGGAGCCTATGCAAATGCCGCGGAGGAGCGTGCCCTGCAAAGACCCATGATCTTGAACCGGGGCTGGGGCGACAGTCCGGAAAGCAGTGTCGAGTTCCTAGGCGGGTGGGAAGAAAGCACCGGGAAGGGGCAGAGGACCGGGCAAGAGGCCAATGATGGGGGTCTAGGAAACACAGAGCTGTTTGGTTTTCCGGGCCTATTGTTTGAGGTGATGAAGAACGGGGCGGTGAGCTGCCTGACATTGTACTGACCGAGTCATGAAGGCGTTGGCGTTTCAAAGGAGCCTTGTACTACATGTTTTTCATTCCATTTTCACATGACTAAGGTACTAGCAACATGCTGGAAGCAGCGGGCGGGTATTACTCGGTATTTATGTAGGCTTGGCAATACACTTTTGACCTTAACATAAATGCTTTGATTGGTTGAACCCACCAAGGTTTCCGTATGTGTAATTTGTAGATTACCCGCACCGGAGCTTTCCCAAGTCCGCAGTCCCATCGAACTCGAAACCCTCCAACAGCCTTTTCTCGCAATCCCCAACCTGGCCCAAAAAAGGCGGGATATGAGCCGACAATAGTATGGCGGAATTGCCACGGACGCTCGCTCGGTCCTGGTCGTCGACGCTCAAGCTCCCCAAGTCGACGTTCCCCGCGCGCGTGACGCCGGCCGACCAGGCCAAATACCTGCGCCGATGCACCGACGACCTCTACGCCTGGCAAGAACGTGAACGCCCGGCCGACCGGCCGTTTGTGCTCCACGATGGACCTCCCTACGCGAACGGCGAATTGCACGTCGGCCACGCGCTGAACAAGATCACCAAGGATATCATCTGCCGCACACAATTGGGGCTGGGACGGCGGGTGCGCTTTGTGCCGGGCTGGGACTGCCACGGGCTGCCCATCGAGCTCAAGGCCCTCGAGGCGCAGAAGGAGCTCCAGACTGCGGACGGCGTCAGCGCGGCGGTGATCCGCAAGGCCGCCCGCAAGCTGGCGGACAAGACGGTCAAGGCCCAGATGAAGGGCTTCCGGAGCTTCGCGGTCATGGCCGACTGGGCCAACCACTGGAAGACGATGGACCGGGCCTTCGAGAAGCGGCAGCTGGGCATCTTTCGGGCGATGGTCGAGAAGGGGCTCATCTACCGGCGTTTCAAGCCGGTCTACTGGTCCCCGTCGACGGGCACGGCGCTGGCCGAAGCGGAATTGGAATACAAGGATGACCATGTGTCGACCGCGGCGATGGTCAAGTTCCCGCTCGCGCGGATCCCGGCGCATCTCGCCCAGGATCCGTTGCTCCAGGGTAAGGAGGTCAGCGCGGTGATCTGGACGACGACGCCGTGGACGCTCCCGGCGAACGCCGCGATCGCGGTCCACGAGGCCCTCGAGTACACCATCGTCGAGTCGGAGACGCACGGCCACCTGCTCATCGCGCAATCGCGCTTGGAATACTTGGAAAGCGCGCTGAAGGAGGATCTGTCGGTCATCGTGCCGGCGATTCTCGGTTCTCAGCTGGCGGATCAGACTACGTATCGACCTCTGTTCAAGGGAGCGGCTGCGGAGGCACAGCCGATCATCGCGGCGGAGTTTGTGACGGCCGACTCTGGGTCGGGACTGGTTCACTGCGCTCCGGGTCACGGTATGGACGACTACGAAGCCTGTCTCTCTCGTGGGATCCCCGCTTTCGCGCCCGTGGACGATCACGGCAGATTCACCGACAAGGCGATGCCCGTGGATCCCGAGCGGCTGCGCGGAAAAAGCGTCCTCGACGAGGGTAACGCGGCAGTGCTGGGATACGTCGAATCTCAAGGTCAACTTCTCACTCAGCATAACTACGAGCACAAATATCCGTACGACTGGAGGTCGAAGCGCCCGATCATCATCCGGGCTACGGAACAGTGGTTTGCCGACGTGGCCGACATTCGCGGCCACGCTTTGGAAGCGCTGGACGACGTCAACTTCGTTCCGAGTTCCGGTCGGCAACGCTTGGAGAACTTCGTCAAGAACCGCAGCGAATGGTGCATCTCTCGTCAACGTGCCTGGGGCGTTCCCATTCCTGCTCTCTATCACCGGGGCACTGGCGAGGCCGTGCTCACGAAGGATAGCGTGACTCATATCATGAAGGTGATCGAGGAGCGTGGCATTGACGCATGGTGGACGGATGAAGCCAACGATGACGCGTGGATTCCACTATCGCTTCAGGACGCGTCTGGTCCGGGTTATCGACGAGGAACCGACACGATGGATGTGTGGTTTGACAGTGGCACCAGCTGGTCTGAAGTGGATGTCCCTTACCGTGAGGATGGTCGCCCGGCAGACGTGTACTTTGAAGGGAGCGACCAGCACCGGGGCTGGTTCCAGTCCGGGCTTCTCACCTTCGTCGCTCATCAGCTTGCCTCGGGACAAACCGCTTCCCCGCGTGCGCCTTTCAAGCACCTCATCACCCACGGATTCACTTTGGATGAAGAAGGCCGCAAGATGAGCAAGTCCATTGGCAACGTGATGCTGCCGCATGCGATCATGGACGGATCGCTTTTGCCACCCTTGAAGCCGAGAAAAGGCAAGGGGAAGAAGCAGGCCGAAAACCAGGCTCCGGTGTACGACGCCCTTGGGCCGGATGCTCTCCGCATGTGGGCCGCCAGCAGTGACTACACTCGCGACGTAGTGATCGGAAAGCAGGTGCTCCAGACGGTGCACACCAGCCTGCACAAATACCGCGTGACGTTCAAGCTCCTGCTGGGTGCGTTGTCGGATTTCCGCCCCGAGCACCGTGTCCCGTACGATGAGCTGCAACAAGTGGACCGCATCGCACTGAAGCAGCTGTCTGAGATGGTCTTGATCTGCCGGAAGGCCGGCCAGAACTTTGAATTCTACAAGGCCGTGAATGCGATCAACCGCTGGGCCAATCAGGAATTCTCGGCCTTCTACATGGAGGCTATCAAGGATCGACTCTACACCTACGGCGAGAACAGCGCGAGCCGGCGTGCGGCGCAGACGACGCTGTTCCACATCTACCAAAATCTCCAGGAAGTCCTGGCGCCCATCACCCCCATGCTTGTGGAGGAGACGTGGGAGCACACCCCCGAGGCGATCAAGACGCAGAGCCAGCATCCTCTGCAGCGCGTTGTCTCGGCCCCTGCTGCGGAATGGCAGAACGAGGGTCTCGAATCCGACTACCAGGAGCTGGCCGCCGTCAACTCCGTGGTCAAGGCGGTCCAAGAGAAGGCGCGCGGCCAGAAGCAGCTGGGCTCCTCTCTTCAGTCGTTTGTGCACCTTGTCCTTCCCGAAGACTCGACGCCCGCGTCGGTGCTCCACCGGGATCTGACCGAGTTACCCGATTTCTTTGTGGTGTCGTCCGTCAGCCTCGGTGCTCATGGCGAGCCGATCCCCGAGTCGATAGCGCAGGCGGAATGGCAGTACAGTGAGGAATATGAGCTCCCCAGCGGAGCCAAGGGCACGGTGTATGTGTACAGTCCGCAGGCGGGTAAATGTCCTCGGTGCTGGCGCTATGTGGTTGCGGAGAGTGAAGCGGCGGAAGAGACGGTGTGCGATCGCTGCGAGGGAGTCGTGCAAGAACTGGACGCTGCAGCTGCAGCTGCGACTGCAGAGGTGTGAGTGGTCAGTTCCTTGATCAATTCCCGGATTCCTGCGGTGGATTCCTGTATTGTATTATTAGTTACTGTGTACTTTAATTTTAGCATCTCACTCAAAACCGTACGCATAGTACGGAGTATCTTAGCTAAGTTATCCATACCTTATGTAAGTCACAGCGACCATTCTAGATCGGTCTTGCGGGGAATCCTGGTTGCGCGTAGCTGGTGTTCTGCAGCGCTTATTGGTGGTGATGGGGATAACGTCATGGACCTCAAAAGAGTCCCTTGAATTTTTGACAGTCAATGAATGACTGGTAACGTGAATCAGGCAACATCCCTGGAGCCACCAGTCGGAGAGTCGGAGCTCGCTGCTGATTAAAAGATGACTTCCAAGGTTCTCTGTGACACCTTTCCCCCTCCCTGTTGATGGTCTCGATGGTCTCTGATTGGATTCCTTCTTCCAACCTCGACTTCCATGACGACAGCAGCGAGGTCAGCATGACGACTGCTGCTTGCAATGGTTTCAGGAAGGATGAAAAAAAAGGGCTGGTGCTGGACTGCTGCTTCCTCGTATATAACCTCCGCCTTCCTCTCACTGTCTTTTTATCCCCCGCATCCTCTTATCGATAACCGTCACTTATCGCTTTCCATCCATCCATCCTCCATTATCATCACCAACAACATCATCATCATCATCGTCATCAGACTGCCAGCTGCCAAACGTCTTCACGATGATTGAGACCTTCCTCAAGGAGACTTTTCCGGGGGTGACTCCGACCTCGACTGTGGCGCCCATCCCCACCGTCGTCCCAGGCAATGAGCCCATTTTCCAGGAGATCCACGATACTGGCAAACGCACATTATGGTTAGTCTTTCCCTATAGAAGCTTTAAGCTCAGCTTCTAACGATACGCTCTTACTAGGGTCGTCACCGTGCTCATGGCCCTGTCTTCCCTGGTGTTCTACGTTCTGGGAGCTCGTGTACCACTGGTAAGTTCTTTAAGAACCTCCACCCCAAGTATCCGCAAGCCATCTCGACATCCCTAAAGTCATTTGAGTCACTCACTAATACTCAACCAAAAAAATCAGAGCAAGCGCGTCTTCCACACCCTCGTCTCCCTCTCCGCCACCATCTCCTTCATCATCTACCTCGCCCTCGCCACCGGCGGCGGCATCACCTGGAAAGTCGACACCGTCAAGCTGCACAACAAGCATGTGCCCAACACGCACCAGGACTACTTCCGCCAGGTGCTGTGGCTGCGCTACGTGCTGTGGTTCCTGACCGAGCCGCTCAGCCTGATCAGCTTGAGTCTGCTGTCCGGTCTTCCCGGGGCTCACCTGCTGGTGGCCATCGCCGCCGACTTCGTCATGCTGGGCTCCGGTCTGCTGGGCACCTTCGCCGGCCACACCTCGCGCCGCTGGGTCTGGTTCACCATCAGTGCCATCGGATACCTGACGACCGTGTACCACATCAGCGTGAACGGGGCCCGCGCCGCCAGCAACAAGGATAACCAGACCCGCAAGTTCTTCGGAACCATCTCCGGCGTGACTCTGCTGGTGAAGGTTTTGTTCCCTGTGTAGGTCTTACGAGAGTTCACCTTTTATCAGTGTATGTGCTAATAGAGAATGCGTACAGCACCATCGCCGCGGGCGCTTTGGCTCTGAAGATCAACGTCGACGTGGAGACTATCCTGTTTGCCATCTACGATATCTTCTCCCAGGGATTGATCGGATACTGGCTGATCATTGCGCACGACAGTGCTCCGGGAATGTAAGTGCTTGCTATTTTTCCCGGTGTGTTCAATGGCTAATTAGAACGGCAGCACCCTTAACGTGGACGGCTTCTGGTCCAACGGCATCGGCAATGAGGGCGCCATCCGTATCGGTGAGGATAACGGAGCTTAAATTGCGACGGACTTGTATGTATCTCAAGGAGAGTGACAGGTGTTGATGGAAAGTTCCGCTGGAATTTTCGGTCTGGGAGGCAGTGTGAACAGGAGGGGTGTGATATGACTGGACGCTGGGCGTGTTTGCCTGGCATCACGACTTTACGTATCGTTTTATGTTTCCGAACTGATGGTTCTACTGTTGTGGACGGAGGATCGAAGTATGAACCGGGATAATATGCTGCTACCATGGAGGCGTCGGACAGCGAAGGAACGAACATTCTGTATGTTTTATAATGATCATTGTCGTTCAAAATTGGGGGTGGAGCCGTGGAAATAATCCAACCAAGCGAGTGATTGTAACCAAGTTTCATGCTGTACCAGCCAGGTTGATATGAATGTCTCGTTCTTCCAAGTATCATACTCGACCTCGGATTCTTGCCGTTACAGTATCACCAACTTGGGATTTGAAGTGTAAAGAGTTGACAGTCATTGATCATATTTTTTTTTCTTCATTTCAAATAACTTATCGCATTAAGATTACACATTACCAGGTTCCATAGTTCCAGTTAAACCCAGTATTCGCACCATTAGACATTACCAATCTCTCTCTCTCGCTCTTGCATTCATTGCCATGCCATTTTCCGAACTCCGTTGCGCCAAACCAATTCATAAAGAGAAAAGGAAAAGAAAAGAAAACAGTCAGATCATCTGAAGATGAGAGAATGGTGAGCAGAAACGCAGCTGATCAGAAGAACATACTCCCCAAGGAAGGACGCCGCGCTCGCTCAGTAAGAAATCAAGGTAGTGAGTTGCCTGAAACACACAAAGTCCTAGGCCTAAGTTAGTCCTTCTGTTCCTTTACGCTTACTCGGTAGCAGAAGCAGGAGCAGGAGCAGCAGCAGCAGCAGCATCAGCACCCTCCGCCCCCTCTTCCTCTTCCTCTTCCTGCCCAGCACCACCCACACCCACCCCCACCGCCTCCGGAATCTTCCTATCCAAACACCCCGGCCCAGTGGACGCCATCTCCCCAACCTTCCGTCCACCCCGTAGCTGCACGACCTTCAACTCCTTCCGCAGATTCACCCGGCGCGCGACGACGGCCTCCCGGCCTTCCTCATCAACCAGTAACAGCTGGGGATACAGCACGGAGACGCGGTGCATGGCCTCACACAGATAGAAGCCGGCGTCGACGCAGTAGTCCTTGAAATGCAGGCACTTGAGCCGCGTGGCGTCGAACCAGAGCAGGAAGGGGTCGGCGTCGACCACGAAGCCCGTCAGCGTCAGGGTGCGGATCGACAGCCGGTTGCGCGTGGGGCCTTGCACCATGGCGCAGATTTTGGCCTTCTCGAGGGCGATCTTGTCCAGGTATTCGCCTTCGCCGATGGTGCGCGGGAGGGCGCCGGCGCCGGTGCCGCTTGGGGATTATTCAGTTAGTTGGTTTGGTTTAGGTGATAGGGGTTAGGGGGGGATGGGGACTTGGGGACTGGGAATGGGGGTCGTACTAGTAGACAGGGGCACTGTAGTGGGTGGGATTCATCGTCCATCCGCCCTTGATGTACGGCCAGTTCCCAGCGAAGGACTGGCGAAGGCGCGGGGGGCAGACCATGCTGAGCTCCAGCTCTTCGAGGCCCGTGTTCAGCCACGCCGCTTGCCAGATGTACCTCTGGTACGACTGCACCATGCCGGTGATCTTGAGGGAGCGGAGGTGCCGGAAATGGATGAGCGGGAACAGTTGCTCCACGGGCAGGACCTCAACGCGCTCTTCTACCTCTTCTTCGTCTTCGTCTTCCTCTTCCTCTTCCTCTTCTCCGTTGGTCTGTTTTTCGGTCTGCGCTGTGGAATCCGCTGCGGCGGTGGTGGCGGTAGCAGATTGGGATTTGTCGATAGGCAAGTAGACATCGATCCCCAATGAACGTCGGTTCCGCGGGAATCGAGCCCAGGTCGCGCCGCCGCGGAATTCTAGGAGCGGGTTGGTCGGGGTGGCTTGCTCGGCTGTGAAGAAGACGATGGGTAGGCTTTGTGCTTGGGCTTGAGCTTGCTGTACTTGCTGCGCTTGCTGTTGAGGTTGGGGATGGGAGCGATGTCCGACTTCTCCGGCCGCTGCAGTCTCCGAATTCACAGGCGTCGGCATCTGCTCCTCGCCGGACCCCATTCTCTTACGGCTCAAGCGCTGGAGCGCGGAGCGGAGGAGCGAGGCGGTGCTTTGGTTGTTCCTGTTGGACGCTGTGCTGGAGGACCGGCTAAATGGCTGAGGCGGCTGCTGCTGCTGCTGCGGTGTCTGCTGCTCCTGGGAGCGAGTCCGGCTCTCGGAGCGCGAACGCTTCGCACGCTCGGCCTTGCGCGATCCGGCCATGGTCAGGGTCAATTCTGGGGTGTTGAATGCGGTGCTTCTGGTAAAGACGTCGCTCATGCTGTAGCGGCGACGGCGCCGCGGCTTGTCTGAAGAATCGGAAGAAGTGTTGTTACTGTCAACGACGTCCGGGGAAGGAGCTCTGTCACCAGCACTTCCAGCTCCAGCTCCGGCAGTAAGTGACCGGGCACGGCTGTTTTCCTCACTAACAAGGTTGAACGGGAAACGGGTATGGAGAGTTTGGTCATGTACTGGAGAGAGAGAGTATCCTCAAAGCGTGTTAGTAGCTGCGTGAAACAAGAATTTCATAGATCATAGGTCAGTTCTCAGCAGAGGGACCCGCGTTACTGACCCGTATCAATGAGGTCGTGGATAGGCTGGTTTCTCGTCTCCACGTCGTTCCAGAATTCCGCGCCTAGCAGTGCAAGCTGCCAGTGTGCTGCGTATTCTTTCATCGCTTTGGCCGGGGCGAATTGAATGAGGTGAGCTATCGCTTGGGAATTGCACGTTTTCAAAGGGTAAAGGCTTGGAGGGACCGGGCGATTTGTGAGAGGCAGCGCAAGCTAGCTGGGTGAAAGATGGGGAAAAGCGCAGTGAAATATGGCACCTGGGAACGATGCAATGGACGACTAACACACAGCCTGGAACACTCTGAGCCCATGTCGAGGGTGTTTTGTTTGTCTCTGGTCGAGTGGAGCTGTGGGGCTTCATCCCCTCCCCTTCTCATAGTATGTTTCTTTTCTTTGGTGGCAGCTTGCTTAGTGAAAGAACACATGCTCGCCAATGCCATTTTGGACGGAATACAAAGAACAGGAACGGGAAGAAAGGATCCATTGCGTACAAATGATCATCCTTGACGTTGCTGACAAGAGAGAATTCCATTGCCTGCGGCCGTCTCTTTGTCATGCGCCGTTTCTCTCAATGAGATGGTTCTGAAACAGAAGGACTAGTCATTACAGCATCCCTGCACCACCACTAACGCTTACGGAAGCGCAGCGGTATGTTTCTCCTCAAAGCCAACGTCAGGATTGAAGTGCACTCTCGTAATGACCTCTCGGCCTCCTGAACTCCTTCCTTGCTATCGTCTGCCAGCTCAACTCGATAGTCTTTGAAGATTACGGCCAATGCAACCACAAACTCGACCTGCGCAAACTTCTTCCCTAGGCACGCGCGCATGCCATCGCTGAAAGGGATGTAAGCACCTCGGACCGGCTTATGAATGGTAGGATACTCCAGCCCTGGTGCAGAAACACCGGGTAGGCCCGCGTTCTTGGCTAGAAAGCTATCCTCATTCCGCACGTCCCAGCGCTGTGGGCGGAACAGTCTAACGTCGCTTCCCCAGTACTTTTCCGAGTAGTGAAGACTGCTTACGTTCAGGTTTATGTTCAGGCGAGGCTCCAGGACGTAATCCTCCTCACGATAACGGATCTTTCTTGCTGAGTCGCCCGTCCACTTCGGGACAGTTACGACGGGCGGGTACAGACGCATGGTCTCCAGCTAGGTGCAGGTCAGTATGCTATCCGCTGCAAAGAAACAGGCTTGAGGCCGTACGCACCATGACACATAGAGGGGTAACCAGTTTAGGGAACATAGTGCCGTAGTCCCAGGTCCCAGCGTCAGAAGACTCCCCCTTGGATGAGGCCGCCAGACCTTCATACATCCATTCCTGGACGTCCGGATGCAGAGCCAAGAGCAGGAACGCGAATCGTAGCGTGGTTGCCGTGGTCTCGTGTCCCGCAATGGTGATAATATGCAGGTTGCTGATAACCTCCCGGTCTGTCAAAGTCTGTTGGTCCTGAGACTTTCGCGGATTAAGCATTCCTTGCACCAGGTGGTGTGCTGTGTCTGTGTCTTCCAATTCTCGCTCGGTCTTGTCAACCAACCTCTGCAGATACACCTCTAGGTCCCGATGCGCCGCAAAGTCTCGCCTGAAGAAGGGGACCAGCGCTCTGGGGATCCACTTGGGTAACAAGTTGTTGGCTATCGCAACTGTGCTGATATGCTCGTTCATGTAGGACATTACTGACCGGAATGTAAAATCGAACCCAGCCGGGGGCGGGGTGCTGTCCTTGAAGATGTCATCCGGGCCCTTGAGCAGATGCTGGGGCAAGGGCTTGAACGGCAGATCTACACCGAAGCCGGCACCAGTCAGGACGTTGAGACTGAGCTTGAGGGTGTCCTGTCTCGTGTCGGTCGCCACGAAGCTGTCACTGGTCTCGTTCGGTCTTGATTCGTGCCAGTACTCGATTAGCTGTTGGCTCTGCTTTATAGCTTGCTCCCACACAAGAGCATTGTTCTTTTCGTTGAAGGTTGTTGCCGTGTATCGACGATGGTGTGTCCATTCTGCATCCTCACACTGTTTGAAATAAGCATGGGCATGATGTGTGACTACAAAGGGTGGTGTCGCACTCACCGTGACGACGTTTGGTCCGTACATGTCCAGCACCGCTGGAGGAGCATCAGCCTCGTGAGCACATCCCCACAATTGAGTGAGAGGGAAAAGACTCACCGTACTGATGGACTGGCTTTGTAAAGCTCTGCCGAGAGTTGACGATCTGGGAAACCACCGCCGCATCGGAGACGCTGCAGAAGATGCCTCCCGGGAAGACAAGCAGGTACACATCGCCATATCGTCTTGCTTGTCGATCCCTGACCCTCCAGCGATAATTGATCAGGGTATCGTACACAATATCTGCCAGTCGGGCGGGAAACCAGTTTTCGACCAGATAGGAGAACCAGGGCGTATCGAAGAAAGCCATGGAGACGATGCCTGGAGAGAAGACAGACACGACATAGGGAAGCCCCGAGCGCTGCGCGACGCGGACATGCTTGAAGAGATCCCGTAGACGGTCAGCGAGATACAGGCCGAGGAGACCGAGGATGACCGTGGACCAGATCATCGTAGCCCTTGTTGACCTTCCTCTGCTGCGAGTTGTTGATGCCGTCCGGTGACAGAGGTTTGCGGATGGAAGAGAGGCGGTGACAATGGCTATTGTTCTGAGAAGTTCCTAAGGGGGAATTTACCCCACGAGTAGGCACATTCCGCTCACAACCCAGTGCACGCGGATCATTATTTTCCCAGGTGCCAGATCAGGTTGACATGTGCTTTAGACATGAAGCCTGTTCCGCTCGCTACAGTGGATGGGACTCCGTTACATTGGCACTGAGAAAGTCATTGTTGTCATACTGAGGTGGCCTATGATATTCCAGGTATTAGGTATCAGGCTCTGCACCAGCCCTTCCTGCTAACACTACCTACTTACTTTAACTAGATTACATGTAAGCTTCAACCAGGGTTCACGATTAGCTCGCCAGAACGACTGGTCAAATGAGGTTGGAGAGCAGGCAACTTAACGCTATGACCAGAATATGTGGGGATCTGGCTATGCCCGGCTCCACAGTATGTCGCCAGTGCTCGAGCCTAGGCATAAGTTAGCGGACAATAACTTCAAAGATATGCCATCCTCCTCGACATGCATAAGAGCAGACATACTACAACCTCGTGGCGGACTCTAATTGCATAGGCTTGGGTTGTTCAGGAGTCAGAGGTAACTCAGAAGCTGGAATAAAGTTATGGGTCGTCTTACAGTCAGCGACCGTGCCGGAGACTCAAAACTTATTGGATCATGTGACCGTCCATCCCCGCCCTCCAGAAATATATCTCCGGCGGTTTTGCAGCATCCATCTATGATAACATCACGGCTAATAGTCAACCAGACAGAGTTTTCAGGCAACACCCGGGCATTTGAGGTCGTCATCTCCTTTTCTCGGCTTTGTCAAGTGAAGGAGGACTGTATAGTTGACACCACTTCCAAGTGCGGGGACCCACGAAGCGGATAAGCAGTCTGGGATGCACGTGCACCAACAGCAGCGAGGAGAGTTCAGCCGGCAGGGAGAGATTGACGAACTGAATATTTTGTTCTCATGTTGATAGGAGATATAGGTTGTACTTGCAAAGTCCTACTTGAAGCCAATCTCGTAAGAGAGATAGACGAGAGCCAGATCGAGGAGCAGAGGAGCTCTGGTGAGGGTTTGACAAGTGTCTCTCATGATGTATGTTTTCGCACGAGCTGAATTTCCCCTCAACATGCAGAGAACAGTAGGCTATGGGTTGGCCAAGTCATTCCCCAGTAGTAGGCATACGGAAGGGCTTAACGACAGTCCTCGTTATGGCTTGAAGTCTGGCAATTAGATCTACTGCCTGATGGTGTTCTGATTAGTATGTAGATGTATAACACGCGGATCGATGGCGTTCTACTCTTCTGGTGTGAGGACCAGCGCCCTTTGGCTGGAATTGGTAGAAAAATAGTTACCTAGTCATTAAGTTGTTGAGAAGAAGCTGGATACGGAACTTCAAGAACATATGTACTATCACCGATAGTGCTAGGTGCTCCGAAGCGAGCGCGCAGGGAAAACCGGGTATGAGCAATGCGTCTGAATCTCTCATGTGGATCAGGCTTAGATGACAACCTTATTCGCCCTAGTTCTGGGCCGATTGAATGAATTGGCCTCTGCAGCACATGGACATTAACACCAGACGGCGCTGGCCCGACCCCTAGCGACGTCACATATAGCAAATCCCGAGTCCGAGGGGCAGTAAGGGACAGTCAGGCCGAATCTAGTCTTCGTAATGCGTTCTTTTACTCTATTTTTATCTCCTCCGCACTTGAATGCTTGCTTTCCAGATCGAGACCGTAGAAGTACACAGAGTAGATAGTGGGCGCACCGTACCATACCAACCGCCCGGTAGTCACTGGCGAAAATGGAGGTTAAATTGACCTTGCGCTAAGTTCTCGAAGCTCCTCCTTATAATCATTACATCCGTTGACACCGTTAATTAGCGTAGGTAGGCGCGAAAGTCGTAATCTGTGCAGAATTCCGATCCTACAGCCAAAGAGCAACTTTTTGAAGTCCGTAGAAAAAATAGTTCGATTCAAAAAACAATCATGCAAGTTTATCCCATCAAAGCACTATCCTAGTACTTCTTGCCCTGGCGCAGGACATCACCGAACTCCTCAAGAGGGCTGCGGATGAGCTTAGTCTCCTTCCAGAGGTTGGGGGTGAGGAAGCCGTAGGTGTTGACGACGGCAAGGAAAGTAGCCTTGAGGGTGTTCTCGAGGGTCTTGGTGGAGCCGGAAGAGCAGGTGTAGGCGTCCTGGACACCAGCAAGCTGGAGGAGACGCTTGACGGCGGGGGAGGCAACGAGACCGGTACCGCGGGGAGCGGGGATAAGCTGGATTCATGTTAGTCAACGGGTTGCTTCGAGTCGGACTGGCGCGATTGCGACATACTCTGACGGAGACGGAACCACACTTGGCGCTCTGCTTAACGGGCAGAGAGTGAGGCTCACCGAGGTTGGTACCCCAGTAACCGCGACGGACGGGGAGAACGCTCAGCTTGGCGATGGTGATGGCGGCACGGATGGCGGTAGCGACTTCCTTGGAGGTCTTGATACCGAGACCGATGTGGCCCTCGGAGTCACCGATGACAACGACAGCCTTGAAGCGGGTACGCTGACCGGCACGGGTCTGCTTCTGGACGGGTTTGATCTGCGAAGAAAAAGAAAGAATGACCGTCAGCACCTGACCATTCCGCAGCAATTCCCGTTCGACATTGTCCAATTCCCAATCCCGCATCCAATCCAATTGCGCGTCCACTTCCTAGCACATGCGCCGATTCGAAAATTTTCCACGTCGATATTCCGGGTGATTTTGGTTGAACGTTCGCTTCGTACCTTCATGACCTCATCCTTGAGCTTGGGGAGGAAGAAGTCCACAATCTGGTACTCCTTGACGGGCAGGGAGTGCAGGTAGATCTGCTCCATGCTGGTGATCTTGCCAGCCTTGACGAGACGGCCGAGCTTGGTGACGGGCTGCCATTCCTTCTCCTGCTCCTTCGCGCCACCACGGCGTCCACGGCGGCCACGGCCACGGCCACGGTCACCACCGCGGTCACCGCGAGATCCGAATCCTCCACGTCCACGGGGAGCGGCGTCAGCCATGTTGTATAGATATGGCGATTGGGAAAGGGTCGGAGGGGCGAGAGGAGGTGTCGTGGGAGGGGTTGTCGACGTCGAGTTGACTTTTCTCTCGCTATCCACAACTGTTTTGGCACGGAGGGAAATTTCGCGGGCGGGTGCGCTAAGCGAGCCCGGAGCCCTATACCCTACGTGATAAGCCGTTTTGGGCAACCCGATCGGAGCCCCGTCCGGGTACATCATGTGATAAGTGGGTTACCCCGTCGCGAGCTGCTGCTCTCCAATAGCCGCCCAGAGTGGCGTGGATTGTCGCGCATTTGCTTGGTTTTTACCCTGGGGGTGGATTAGAGTGTTGGAGCTGTCTGTTGTTCCTGTTCCCTTATCAGCGGCAGTCTGTGACCAGATACTTATACCTGCATCATCGTTCCCTGAGTTTATGCCAGCGACCAACCTTCTTCTGTTTCCTCTTCAGCATCTTGTTCGTTGGTCGCATCCATCATTTCTAGCCAATTCATTTCTGTGTATTTTCTTAAAAATACCCCCATCGATATCTTAGACAAAGATGTTGCGGTGGTATGTCGATCCTACATTGAGGATTCGGTCAATCATGTACCTCCAGCCGTGTACTGACTTATCCGCTTCAGGTACCAAGCGAAGCTGGCCAAACAGCCCATCCTGACCGCCAGTGTCACCAGCTTTGTATGTCTTCCTGGTCTTGTTCCGCTTCCAACAATGTCTATTACTCGCTTTCCTCTTGACTCCGCTGACTCCATTGACGACCAGGTCTTGTTTGGCAGTGGAGATGTCCTTGCTCAGCAGCTCGTTGATCGCCGAGGTTTCGATAAGCACGATATGGCACGAACTGCACGCATGGCTCTGTATGGAGGTGGTAAGAAACGGCCATGGGCGTTGCTGTCTTTAACAAGTTCCTTTTCTAATGGTCCCAAGCAATCTTCGGCCCGGCTGCCACGGCCTGGTATGGCATTCTACAACGCCATGTTGTTCTTAAGAACCCCATCGCTACCACCGCCGCTCGGGTCGCTGCCGATCAATTGCTCTTCACGCCCACTCACCTGACATGTTTCTTGTCGTCCATGGCCATCTTGGAAGGCTCTGACCCAATGGAGAAGTTGCGCAGCAGCTTTGTCCCCAGTTACAAAGCGAACCTTACGATCTGGCCCATGGTCCAAGGTGTCAACTTCGCCATAGTGCCCTTGGAGTACCGTGTCCTGGTCGTGAACCTGGTCAGCTTGGGTAAGTAGTGTTCTATCTCTGACCGAGCAACAACTGACCAGAACAATAGGCTGGAACTGCTTGTTGAGCTTGATCAATAGCGGCGAGAAATGATTAGACAAAGATCTCTCTTGATTAGCACTGAACTATAGATACCCTTCGAATCCATGACTTTACACTTTAATACCCAGTTCCCTAGACTCATTCTTTTCCTGGTTCCTGGATTGGCTTAGTAGTACTGTTTTTAGATCTGCTCAAACATATGTGTCGAGACAGAGCTTGGCCGAATAGAAATGAAACTCATATAGTGTTTACACATATTGAGGGCAGAGAACGCTGCCTATCCATATCCAAACTTCGCAGGCGTCTATCATCAGGCTCGTTGCCTCTATTTAACCTGTGGCATTGTGCGTATGAAGTGGGCTTAAAGCCTTGCAAAGAGGAAAAATATAATACTACGAGTCATTTGACTAACTAAAGAGTGCAAATTACCTTCTTTTATGGTTTGCTGAGAGTGACTCCTACCTACCTCACTTCTCTGTCAAGATATCATCATTAGGGCTGGGTTGGGCGGCGGCAGCCTATTAGAGGTCTGGAAGGGAGGGTTGCCCAAAAGGGAAAAGTTTCACTCTGGTCCCGACCTTGCGGCATCTCCAAACCATCAAAACTTGATGCTGGGATTTTCCGCCATCTTCCCCATACAGTCTCGACCACGACATTCGCCGTGATTCTGCCTGGAGCAGACGCTCAACTCTGATTCAACCACTTGCGCGTCTTCCCTTCTTACCTCACATACACCTCTTACCGCGAGTTGCGCCTTCCTTTGACGGCCTCTCATCACAACAACAAATTTTGCCATCCGCACTTTTCTCTCCCCTCCGACGACCCCTCGCCTCTTCATCAACCCGACCCCGCCGCTCGACCCTCTTCATCCACCTTGACCTTTACCTCACCTCATACTCCCTCTACCATAATGGCCGCCGTCGCTGAGAACGGCCACGCACCCGTGGCCGATGAGAATGCCGCCCCCGTCGCTGCCGCCGAGCAGACCGAAAAGACGAACGGTGACTCCGTCACAGTATTCCACGACCCCGAAAACTTCAACGTTAAGCATCCTTTGATGCACGAGTGGACCCTCTGGTTTACCAAGCCCCCCAGTGGCAAGGTAAGGGACCGATCGACTCGATCGACTGCGTTCAACATTCATCTGACCCATCCGTGGTTATAGGGCGATAACTGGAACGACCTTCTGAAGGAGGTTGTGACTTTCAACTCTGTCGAGGAATTCTGGGGAATCTACGTACGTTATGTCGCGTGCTGTGCCCTAAGTGGGATTTTCCGGCTAACTGATTTTGTTAGAACAACATCACGCCGACCTCCGAATTGGGCCTCAAAGCAGACTACCACCTTTTCAAGAAGGGCGTCAGACCGGAGTGGGAGGACCCCCAGAACAAGCACGGCGGAAAGTGGTCATATTCCTTCAAGGACAAGCGCTCCGTGCCCATTGACGACCTGTGGCTGCACGCTCAGCTGGCAGCTATTGGCGAGACTCTCGAGAGCGATGGTGACAGCGAGGTTATGGGCGTCGTCGTGAACGTACGCAAGGGCTTCTACCGTGTGGGTCTGTGGACACGGACCGTTGGCAAGGCCATTCCGGGAGACAAGAACAACACCCGTACGCCCGCCCAGGGCAAGGACATCCTCGAGGCCATCGGCCGCCGCTTCAAGGAGGTTCTCCGTCTCAAGGAGGCGGATGCCGTTGAGTTCTCCGGACACACAGACAGCGCGCACAGCGGCAGCACGAGAGCCAAGGCCAAGTTTGTTGTCTGAAGCGCCTGCTAGCTTGTGTCGCTTTGGCTTTATGATATCATAACGCGGTGGTTTTCGCTTGTTTGCTATGGATTAATGGAAAAGGGCTCCGTGATGATGCGCGGTAACGAATGGGAAAAGATCAGTACAAGGCATTGCCTGTGGGAGGAGACATATTCCAAACTGGCTTGCCAGCACTTCGCAGTGAGGCGATCTGGTTGCAGCTCTTTTCCTCAAGACGTATTTCTGACGAGGTTTATACCATATTCTGTTAAATTTCAGTGTTGTCCCTCTTGGGATCGGAGAATATAAGAAAATGATTTGAATTGCTGCATTTACTTGACCTGTCTGATTTTTGCTTGCATGGTGACGTTGCTGTCCTTCAGCTCCATTATCGAGACAAAACCTCAATGCTGGCCGTGTATACACCGAGTACAGTACAGTACAGATGTTCTTTTTATTTTCGGTGGCTAATTAATGTGGATGACCTCCTCTTCCAACTTGCTGTATGCCGCACGGGTCAAGTAGGGCTCGGTAGCGAGTACAACTGGAGTCGGTGGTGGTTAGCGGTCCTGCCCGTGGGGTGAGTGACCTTGATAGTGACTTCCTGTTTAGGAAATTTTGAAGTGAATGAATGAGGCGCCATGAGCGTCGGTGTCCCTACCAGGCCGGGCAGTCACCCACCAGCCTTTTGCTTTTCATCATCATGTCGAGTCCCTCGGATTCATAAAGCACCTTTCTCGACAGTCTTCCCCCACAACATCTTCCCTCCAGGCTTCTTCACTCCACTGCCCAACCCACCCATCCATCTTCTTCCCTTTCTTTCTCGTTCTCTTCCACCACCATCATTCCAATTTCCTCCTTCTCATCCTTTCTCTTGTCATCTCCCCTCTTCTCGTCTTCTTCTTATTCTCTCTCTTCTCATCCTCTCTCTTCTCATTCTTCCACTTCTCATCCTCTTTCTTCTCATTCTCTTCTCATCATTCCTTCTATCCTTTTCAACCTTCCCCTACCCTTCTTTCTGCCCCTTCTCTTCCTATCTTCTTCTCTCCCCCCTACCACCCCCGAGACAGGTACGTGACCCCAACATTGTCCCCGGTTGCTAACGGTCTATTCTTATTCGTAAGTTGTGCCGGATCGAGCATCTGTTCGTGACAGCGCAAGCAGGTTTTTGGCTCACTGGAAAAAACTTTGAGCTTGCCGTACCTCCAGACTTCCACTTGCAAGTTCTCGAGGGCCTATGGACGGGTGGTTGGGTTGGGCCTGGGCCACAAGACTCCAAACACGAAAGGGTAAGTTATTCTCCTGCTTTGGAGGTGGTGGGCTTCAGTAGATGCTGACTTCTGACTGTTGCTATATCTGTGTGCTTTGCGGACTGTGAAAAAGGAAGGGTCTAACCTGGAGCTGGTAAGTAAGTCTCTTCAATTTGTTCTGTGGTGTGTTGATAGGGCGGAGCTTTTTGCTGATCTGCGTTGTTCGGTATAGATGTCTTTTCAAGGGTGGCTCTGGGGTGGCTAGTTCGGAGACAAGTGCTTATGGTGCCTGTGTGTTTGCTTGGATAATGAAGGTGGACACTCTGTCTCTGTGGTTGTGTTGGTAGATGTGGTCTTCTGTTGTGATTCTCTGTGGTATGCTAAGCTGTTTCCTTCTGTAAATCTGCAAATCGAGTCTTCTCTTGAAAAGTATGCTGTCTTGGACGAGAGAAAACCGCATCCCGCTGACATTTTAATCAAGGGGTCCCCAGTGTGAAGGATTCAGGGATATCTGGCGTGTATTGCTATACGTCGTGGCGAGAATCATCATAGGTGAAACTACCAAAGGATCTATACTACCCTTCATGAACCCATGAAACGAAGGTCTCGATGTCATATCATAATAGATATGTGCTCTTTGGCAAGTTCTGGCATGACAGTCACGAGCAGACTAAGCAGAAAGGGGGAAAACATTGAGAGTTACAGTCAATGGATGGATGGCATATGGAGAAACTACGGTGGATCTTTTTCTTCATGGACCATAAGCAACAGCTGGAACCTGCGGCGGGCTTTATTGGTTTCAAATCCAATCCAGCCATGCTAGAATGCATGCCCGCCCGCTATGCTGTTATCTTGTCGACCAGTAGAATCATCGTCACGCTGCCCTTAGTCACAGGCACAGCTTGAGATGGCGCCTTCCGAGTTACGATTTTGACACCGTACTGCGAGAATAGCCATCCACCTCATCACCCTGAAGCTCTGCTGCCTGCTTTTCCAATTTTTCCTTTGATAAAAACGCGCACTGGGTCAAAAACAGGAGTGCTTCCGCATATTCCGAGCGAATTAATGCCCGACGGTTGACCATTTATCCACCCCTGCGCGGAACTGTGGATCCGTGACAAGATATGATCGTCTACTTTAAAAGGCTTGGAAGGTCACAGATAATGCTTGGTAAGGAGCCTTTTTTCACTGCAAATGAAAACTGGCATTGCGCCTTGAGGTTTATACGCCTCGAGTTTTATGATGGCAGGCTGAGTTTAGCCTGCTTTGGCCTTATCAGAGTTTGATCCCCTCATACGAACAGCCGGCTAAGAAGTCCGATCCACACTGTCCTGCGAACCCAGACCGTGGTCCCCTTCCGACTATCTCGCAAAGGTGCAACGCAATGGCTTGAGTTGGGAGCATCTTCAGAATAGCAACCGTGCAGATCATCAGCACGGGAAATCCAGCCGATCACGGCCGCCGCCCAGTCCAGCCAAGAGGCCTCCGCCTATCGTATACACGTTAGATGCTGGTCGCTGATTGAGTCACTCTCCGCTTGGCAACACTCTCACGGAATGTCGCCGTCGCGAGTCATAAACAGGGTCGGCTTGATTGGCCCGGTCGTGCTTAGCACGCCATCCCTAAAGGCATCGGAGGAAGATCGGAGCCCTTTCTGCCTTGGAGTCTAGCGCGCCAACGGCCGAATAAGAGGACGAAAACGAGGCGGCCACGCCCTTCGAGGCTTTGCGCCTTTTGATATATGAACTGTTATCTCTCCAGGTCAGCGAGTGTTTCGAGTCATGAGTCGAGCGGTGAGATTCATGGCCAGGGGGATGTGTTGACCATGACCAAACCAGTTGGTGGCCGAAGGCTTTCCGAGGGCGAAGTCGGACCTTGAACAGGTACTTAACCTCAACAGACACTACCCCACCCCACGCGCGCTCTCAAGGAACGCTTCCCAAAAGCATTTCTTCCCCTCACCACCTCAGAACATCCGTGACACCTCACTGACCTCATATATCTTTGGACAAGACGAATAGGACAAGGAAGAAAGGTGTCTTACGATGGACAGATGTCTCTCTCCAGGTTTTGCCTTGGCGGCTGGAGCCGATCAGAATGGAACCATACCCCAATGAGGAAGCCTTCGATCGTCGTCAACAACGCCCAGTCCCTGTACAGCAATGATCCGATCAGAACTCATCAGACGAGCAATGTTTCTCCGACTCCATCCCCATATCTTAAGGGAAAAGCTAAGCTGGGGATTTGCCGACGCCTCGGCTCCCCCGTCGGCTCCCCCATAGACGATAACTTTGTTCCACTCGCCGGCCCCTTCGAGAACATCGCCTAATCTACGCGGAATGGGTTCAATGGCATTGCGAACTCTCCGATTACGGCTTGTACGGCTTGAGGGCAAGGAAGAGGCAGAGGAGGCAGCAGAAATAAGCACAGCTCTGGGCTGAGACAAGCATTGCTTGTTACAGAGACACTGGGGATATCTCGGAAGGGCGATTGCATTGCTCCTGTCGAATGACTTGATTTGATTTGTGATGCACCGATGATAGGTCACAAGCTATTGACTCATTTGCTCGCACACCACACGCGGGGAAGCCCGACGTTGCAATCGTGCTGAGTGCTGATCCTCGCATGGACAGGCGGGGGAACAAGATTTCCAACGCACGAAAGGTGGCCAGTGGCCACAGTCAGCGCGCGCGCCCTCTGCGCCCTTTGAGAAACGCGGCGGAGTTTCCTTCCAACTCCGTTTGAGTCACGAATAAGACACGCCATGCTTATCTGCTAGCCTACAGCTAAAAGTGTTTATGTTACCTAACATGTTCCGCTTGCGGTGGTCCAACCGACGGCACGAAAGATTGGATCACTTTTCTGTACGAAACGAATTCCCGGGTCCTGATTAGGCCGGCTAGCTAGCTGGCTGGCCATGCAGTCCGTCAGTCAGTTCATCGGACACTATGATTCTCTGCAAATTTGAAAGGCCAGCCAGGGGTGGTGGCGCATAACCATGAAAAATCGGATGATATGCAAGACAAAGCTCAAACAGGCAATGATCTCGAGTGGGTGAGGGAAGGACTGGAAGCGAGGGGTGGGAAAAAAACTGCGAGAGGAACTGTTTTTCGCCACGAGGGAAAAGTGGAAATTTGGTTCGAGGGAGGAAAGAAAAAAACATTCCGCACTCACCGGCAGGGCCCGACCTTCTTGGCGTTCCAAACTGCAGCCGGGTTTTGCTCCCCTTACAAGCCAATCAACGTCTTTCCCACTTGTCTCAGGTCATGCTTGGTGCTGCTTGTCATATCAACATTTTGCTTTCAGCCTGGGGTTACATCGGCATCTCCCCTGCTCGGCCGTCGCCATTTGCCTTCCTTTCCACCCTCCGATGGGGTCTCTCCTCTATCTATCTAGCGGCCATTGGTTCGGGGACAAGATGGGTCCGCTTCGGTTACTGTTCCTATATCGTCGACCGTCGAGGGAGATATAAGGTGAGGGCCATTTCCCTCCTCAACGCTGGTCTTTCTGTCTTCTTTCCTGTGGAAATCTGCCCTACTGCGACCGTTCCTGTCGGACCAATTCCCTTGCCTGGTCTCTGCCACCATGTCTTCCGGAGATCGCGAGGCTGATATTGCTCAGTATGTGCTCCTTTTCTTTCTTATTCTTGTCTTGTGTCTCTGTGCGCCTGCCATGTAGCGCAGCGCCTGCTGAGTCATCAAGCATTGCCCTACCGTCTCGAGACTAACATGTCATGCTCCAGGCCGTTCCAACAGGGCCATGGCACTATCACCGAGGTCACCTCGAACGAGAAGGCCTACATGACGGAGAAGGCTCTCGACGCTACTCCTGATGGTGAGGAACCCAACCAGGAAGAGGTCCGAACCCTCCGTCATGTCGCCGAACATCTGCCCGTCTCTGCTTGGCTCGTCGCTGTTGTCGAGCTTTGCGAGCGTTTCACCTACTACGGAATGTCCGGCATGTTCCAAAACTACATCCAACGCCCTCTCGATGGCAGTCAGGGTCGTGGTGCCCTTGGCATGGGCCAACGTGGTGCCACTGGTCTGACCACTTTCTTCCAGTTCTGGTGTTATGGTTAGTCATTCTGGCTCGGTCCGTCCTCATTCCTCTTACTGACCTCGGTCCGTAGTAACTCCCATCCTTGGTGCTATTGTTGCCGATCAATATTTGGGCAAGTACAAGACGATCGTGGTTTTCTGTATCATCTACCTGGTCGGTCTCCTTATCTTGGTTTGCACGTCTATCCCCACTGCTCTCTCCCATGGAGCGGGTGTTGGTGGCTTCATTGTTTCCATCTTGATCATTGGTCTGGGCACCGGCGGTATCAAGAGTAACGTCGCTCCTCTGATTGCCGACCAATACAAGCGGAAGAAGATGGCGATCAAGACGACCCCCAAGGGTGAGCGGGTCATCATCGATCCCGCCTTGACCATCCAGCGCATTTACATGATCTTCTACGCCTGCATCAACATTGGCTCCCTGTCCCTGATCGCCACGCCTTACATGGAGAAGTACATCGGCTTCTGGTCTGGCTACCTGCTCTGCTTGTGCATGTTTGCCGTCGGTACTGGTGTCCTTATCTTCGGCCGCAAGTTCTACGTGGTCCGTCCTCCTCAAGGTTCCATCATCACGGATGCTTTCAAGGCTCTGGGAATCATGATCGTCAACCGCAACATGGACGCAGCCAAGCCTAGCTGGCAAGCCACCAATGGAGGCAACCGACCCGATCTGCCCTGGGATGATCACTTCATTGATGAGCTCAAGCGCGCCCTGGTCGCATGCCGTGTGTTCGCTTTCTACCCCGTCTACTGGGTTGTCTACGGCCAGTTCTCCAGCAACTTCGTCACCCAGGCCGGTGAGATGGAGAGCCACGGTATCCCCAACGACTTGATGCAGAACTTCGATCCCATCTCTGTCATTGTCTTCATCCCGGTCTTGGAGACTCTTGTTTACCCCCTGCTCCGCCGCATGCGCATCCAGTTCCGCCCCATCACCCGTATCTCCGTTGGATTCGTCATCGCCTCCCTTGCTATGATGTACGCGGCCATTGTCCAGCACTTGATCTACTCTGCCGGACCTTGCTATGGCAAGCCCCTCTGTGATGCCTCCATCGTTGATGGTGCGGCCACTGGCAACCACGTCCACATCGCGATCCAGACGCCTGCCTACGTCTTCATCGGTGTTTCTGAGATTTTCGCCTCGGTGTCCGGTCTGGAGTACGCCTACACCAAGGCGCCTCCGTCCATGAAGTCGTTCGTGCAGTCCATGTACCTGCTCACCAACGCGTTCGGTTCCGCTATTGCCGAGGCTCTGACGCCCGCTGCGTTCGACCCCGCCATCATGTGGATGTTTGTCGGTCTGGCCTGTGCCTCCTTCATTGCCGGTATCATCTTCTGGATGGTTTACCACCACCTGAACGACCAGGAGGACGAGATGAACGCCCTGGACGCGGAAGATCCCGAGGTTCCTGCCCCCATCGAGCAGGAGCAGAAGAAGGATGAGCACAACTAGATTCCTGATCGGAATCCCCTCCCCCCCCCCATTCTAATGTATCATAATTCTTTTGTGTTTAGCTTTGCGATGTTCGTGGATGGCGTTTTGATCTTTTTTTGAAACGTGATATACTTGATCATCTCGCGCAGGCTCGCGTCCCAGCCCTTTGATGAGCAGATGCAGTATGACGACCCCATGTGTGTATATATGCAGGGTGTACGGATTGACGTTTTTTTTTTTCATTATTATTTACTACACTATATAGTATAGATTCTAGTTAGCATATACAGGATTCTTATTTCACTTACTCAAACATTTTGTGCCAGTATCGCCTCAACCTCAACCGCGTCAGTGTGAGACCACATGACCCATTCAGTGAAGAGGCCGCTCTATCCGGATGGGGCCCTCTTTTTTTTTTCTTTTGTTCCTTCCATTCCGGCCCCGTCCCTGCAGTAGTTTGTCTTAGCATCTCTTGGCATTTTGGGCCCGGGGGCCTTTCCCAGCTTATCCGCTTCCGGAACAGTGCCTGACTGGCTCCGCGGACCCAACACGGCGCCACCTGATGGAAGCAGTGCAGTTGGACTTGGACAAATGTAAGTGCAGTGGGGCCCATGTCTTATCATGAGATGAGGGCTTGGCGGTGGGATTGCGGTTGTGGTTGCATAATAAGCATTGCTCATGGTTAGGTAATGGTTTTCTTTTTTGCTTTTTGCAAGTTGCAATTTGGGTGCCCCAGCGCTGGAGTACTAGGAGTGTTGTGTTGTTTGGCTGGTGCGGCTCTTGCTTTTGCGCTTGCTCTTGCTCTTGCTCTTGCTCTTGCTCTTGCTCTTACTCTTGGCTGTTGTACTCAGTAGGTTGACTCGGACCACCATGGAGGGATTTTTTTTTATGTAAGTATCGTTTTATTGAAATCATTGGATGTTCTTGATAGTTGAGATCGATGATGCATACATATACTTAAGTGGTGTTTGTAGTCCAAGATGATGGTGAGGATTTCATTCCCAATGCTGGAAGATATTGGGTTGGATGGTAGCGGTACGGATTAGAATTTCGGGAATTTCCGGGTCGAGGTTTTGGTACCTTACGGACGAAGTACGGAGTATATTTTCTTTTTTTGCTCTTTCCGCTGGAGGGCGGAAATTCTGCGGACTGGGATGGTAGACTAGACTACACAGTAAGCTAGTATTCCCTCCGGGAGTGGGAGGAAGTGCTGGAAGTACTAGTCTACTGGAAGGCTGGGCGTTCGAGATAGGTTCCATGGGATTGTTTGTTCTTTTCTTTCTTTCTTTCTTTCTTTCTTTTTTTTTTCTTCTGGTTCTGTTGGTTGTGGGGGGGGGGGGGGTTTCTAAAAAGCTGTGGTTCTGGGCCTGGGTTTGGATTGTATTGCATCGGATTGATTTGCATTGGTCGGGACTTCTCTCTTGTGGATTACCTGTTGTTAACACCACGAGGATGTTGATGTCCACCACACACACACACCCTGTGGATGTGGATGTGGATGTGGTTATGGTTGTGGGTGCTTCGGTATCGTACCTGGGATTTGTGGGTTCGTAGAACGGGACTCGTGCAAGTGATGTATGAGTCAAGTGTCCACGGTGCTGGTCATGCTTGCTGTTTGGGTCTATTCCATGCCTCAGAGATGCCGTGCATTTGTACTGGACTGTTGTAGATGCTGTATCTGGTGGTAGGTCAGTGACTTCGGACTTGTGCCGCTGTGCTCGGTCTGGAGAGGTCCGTTCCTGGACGGTGACTCTTTACCTCCACCCTCTCCTACTGGGGTTGGTGATACTTCTGGTGGATTTTCTGGCTGGTCCTTGGCTGGCCTGTCCAGATTTTACGGGTGTTGATGGATTCGTCTCGCAGGCACGGATGTAATTTTGGTGGGGGAGTCCAACTGTCCATTCTGAGGTCTTGGGTAAAGCTGGTTGATAACCCGCTGATCCGTGGGGCTGTGGAAGAGGCTGTTCGAAGTTTTTGAGTGCAGAGAATATACATACTTCTTGGGACTATTGTATTGTATGGCTGTGTGTAGTGTATAGTGCTTACGACGTCTAGGTCTTTGCAACGGACATCGGGATCTAGGGGCATATTCGCTCTATTCCTGGTCCTTGGCCATGCGATTTCGGTTGGGAGATAGTTGACTGTTCGATGTAGGCTTGCAGAGATGCTTGCTTGGAAAGCGGCTTGCTCGCAGAGGTACTAGGTCTAGTACTTGAAGAGAGACGGCATCTGCAGCACGCTGGCCTGAAGCAGTCACCTGCAATCTGCAATCTAGGTCCCTGAGAGTTGGACTACGATTTCCATCATTGGATATAGGGTTCATACGATGATCAGAGCCGATTTTTATGATTGTGGGGCGCTTAAGCTTTACGGTTGTGCTCTATGAGGTGTTCGGTTGCGCGGGCTGTGACTGTATAGACGGTAGCCATGGGTCATATGTCAAGTATAAGTAGCTTCTTGAATATCACAAATTATATTGAAATTCCCCCCAAACGCTTATTCGCAGATTCACCTGCTTGAAAAGTGGTTTGCTTGTTCAGGAATTTTTGGAGATACTTACTCCATGGGATACCTGAAAAAAAAACTATACAGTCAGTCGCTTTACATGGATACTCTAAGAATGACACGTTGAGTGTTGTCTGTAAGTTACTCCTCCAGTTAGTCTCCAGGCAAAGACCGAAGGGATTCGCTGAAAGAATGCCTATGCCATTTATAACTTGCTTGCTCGGGTACTTCTGACAGCGGTCACGATTTTGTTAGTCGTGAGGTTATAGGTGAATGGGTGTGTGAATCTCGGTATGAAAGAAGGGAAGCCCAAAGCAGTTTCGAGCACTGCAGGGTCTATCCCATAGCGATGCTATGATTTAGCAGGTGAGCAGATCGAATCTGCAATCCCTGTGGCATGAAGACCAGAGCTTCGGGCCCTCATTTCCCGTCGTGCATCCTGGTGGATCCTTGCATGCAGATATGTCGATTCGAGATGCAGGGTGGCCATGCTTGCAGATTCTGTGTTGCACTCCTTTTCACGTGTAGTGATTTACGCTTTGGATGGCATACTGGGTACTAGGCCCTCTGATGGACGGTTGCTGGAATCAGATGGTGGTGTGGACGGTGCTGTTGGAGTAGCTTAGTGGTATTCCCTAGGCTCTGTTGTCACGAGCGAGAGATCTCGGTTCAGATTGTGATTGGGCCTACAAGCATATCTCTAGCCGTGGATTTGTTCTCCGCCGGTTGCTATACCTGATGAGCAGAAAGGGAACTTGTTACTGAGCCGGAAGTTACAGTTGGCCGATCGTGATCCACGAGATACTTGCCAATGTCGATGTGTCTTCTATGAATGCATACAGCTGGCAAGAGAATGTTGTATAGTACTCAGTATAAACAGCGAGTTAGTAGTATGAACAAGCGAAAGTCTTCCAGCCACAACGACTGCTGAGCCACCTAGAAGTCACCAGGGAATGTGGCGTGTCCAGTTGTCAGAGGTGTACAGTACAACGGGGCAGTGCCCCTCCACTCCACCACACGCAGCGAACTCGTTCTCCAACCTACGAGATTGGCTGCACGTTGGGAATTGGTTGCTAATTATAGGTGACCATCTCTGATGTGCGGACAAACCAGGCCAGTGGCCACAGGGTCTCCGGGGATTGTGGAGCTGCCTGCCTGGTGGAAAGGTACTGATGGTGGCGGAGATAACGCAAGAAAGTGTCTCTGAGGCGAGCCTGACTCGCATCTCGTTCTAACGCGACACAATACTGCATTGTGGGATGATGGGTGAAACTTGACGGGATGGTTCACTTCATATTTCGAGACACCTGTTGGTTGTGGGGAATTGTGTCCGCAGAGAAGCGGTCTGCGAGGGTTTTGGTTATGGTCTTTTGAGGAACTTACGGAGTAGTTAATCAATTGACACGGTAGTTTCCAATTGACTGTTCGGGCCAGCCAAGAGTGGGGAGGACCGTTCAAGCTCTTCTAGCATAATCGAGTTGGTGTCCTGTCAATGACGTGCAGAATGGTCCTGCCCCTCCTCTGCTGGACGGGGAATATGCTTTTGAGTATACTGTGTGTGGTACGTAGTGGGTATAGAGTCCGCGCAGTGCTGGACTGCTAAAACATTTCACTCAAGCATTGGGGCTGTTTGTAGTAGTAATTTGTTCCAGGGCTCAATTGGTCGCGAGGGCTTGGAGAGAGCGCCGTCATCTTCCACTTTGGCGCCCGCAAATTGAGTGCAGCACATACACATCTGGATTGGAGCTGCACAGGTCAACAAACTACAATCTCTATCTGCATATGACCAGAGAAATTTATGGTATAGAGACTATTGCTTGCCTGCCTACCGATCAGTAGTCCATAGATCCGATCTGTCGACCTCACCGGTTGTTGCACTTCGAACCCGCCGTTTAGCCCCATCGCAGCTCAGTCCTTCCCTTGTTTCACCAGTCCTCAACTTAGATTATTGTTTTGATTGCCCTCCTGCTTCATGGGAAGGGAAAAGGGGACTCGAGGATCGTCCACTGGTCTGTGCAGTAGCTTGGAAGCCCCCCCTACTAATTATACATTGGGCGAAAAATTGCAGTGGGCGCAGATTTCACCCCCTGACTTACCTGTGAGTCTGTGACCGACCTAGAGAAAAAGAAGAGGAGACTGCTGTTTTGAAACAAACCCTTTCTTTCTGCTAACTAACTTAACCACCTTACTCTTCAGTCATTCCTTTAACTGATCTTCTTTTCTTTACCTTCATTTTCTGGTTGAATTTGTGCGTGTTGTTGTTTTTGTCGAGATTGCCGTCTGCGGGCCAGAGCCATCCAGCCCGTCGTCCATCCAAGCCCTCTGAGCCCTCCAAGCCATCCAATCCTTAACCAAACCAACCATCAGTCATTCCTTCAAACCGCCTCCGCGCCCGTGGCTCAGCAGCCGCCGCCAGTGTGTGTCTCACCCGTCACTCTTTCTTTTTGCCCTTCAATTCTTACCTCAACTCAAAAACTACTGCCTATTCTTTTTCCAACGTTCATTTCATCCACGACCTCTCTTCCTCATTTCACCCCACCTTCGTCCTTCCTACACGCCCTCCTTCGTCTCGTCCCCTCCTCCCTGTCGGAACGAACTCACCTCATCCTATCTACCGTCGATCGCGCTATTAACCCCCCCCCCCCCCCCGTCGTCGTTTCCCGTACGACCCGAGCTCCGATCGCTTTGCGAATTGGTCCCTTCGAGCCTGCGACTTGACTCTTCCGCAAGATAACTCCCAGTGACGCTATCACTACGAAACTTCCATCTCAAATATACATAGCCTCGAAATAATATCACAATGAGTGTATGTCTCCGTTTAAAGCATGGTCACGACCTTCCGCGACCGCCGCTGCTACCCCTCCCCTGACTCCTGAGCTCATGCGCACCTCGACCTTCATTGCTGACCTGTGAACAACAAAGTACGGAGGTAATCAGGGTGGCTACGGCCAGTACAACCCTTATGGCGAGCAGGGCTACAACCAGAACCCCTATGACCAGGCCAATGCCGTCGAGCAGGGCCAGGGTAACGGCACCTACGGTAAGCGCGCCGCAGCTCGGACCCGTCATGCGAAACAGCCAGTCTTCTAACGCAAGCTCTCCGCACCACCAGAAATGAATGCGATCGCGGAACAGCCGGCCGACGCCACCACGCTGTTGAACAAGTGCAGGGAGATCAACGATGGTATCGCGGACCTGAAGGCCAAGCGCGAGGGCCAGCTGGCCGCCGCCCAGAATGCCATGCTCGACTCCAGCACTGGAAAGGAGGACCAGGTCGCCCGCCAGACTCTGGATTACATTGAGGACGAGATCAACAACGGCTTCCGCTACCTCCGTGATCTGTTGAAGAAGATCAAGCAGACCCCGGGCTCCGGAGACAACCGCGTCCAGACGCAGGTCGACGTCACCAGCCGCAACCTCCGTCGCGAGATCGAACAGTACCAGCGATGCCAGTCCGACTTCCAGAAGCGCTTGAGAGAGCAGGTTCGCAGACGTTACGAGATCGCGAACCCCGAGGCGACTCCCGAAGAGATCGAGCAGGGTGTCGACAGTGTGCTGCTGGGCCAGGAGCAGAGCTTCCAGGTATGGTGGCCCTTGTCCGCGATTGCCCCGGATGACTCGCTAATCAGTGCTCTAGGTTACTGGTAGCCGTACTAGACAGGCCAACGACGCCAGACAGGCGGCCTTGGAGCGTTCGGCCGCTATTCGCAAGATTGAGCAGGATATGATCGAGCTGGGCCGATTGTACCAGGAGGTCGCAGAGCTGGTTCACATGCAGGAGCCTGCTGTGGAGCAGATCAGCCAAGACGCCGAGAACGTTGCTGGAAACGTCGCCAATGCCAACACTCAGATCACGGAAGCCATTGCCAGCGCTCGCCGGGCAAGAAAGTGGAAGTGGTACGCCCTGTTGGTCGTCAGTAAGTAGCTTTCCATCACCGAAATCATTGCTCTAGACGCAGCTGACATGTCTCCAGTCCTCATCATCGCCATCGTCGTTGGTGTAGCCGTTGGTGTCACCGAAGCCAACAAGAAATGAGGGCGGCTTCGTTCCAAGTTAACATCCGATGGCCGTGTTCGAACCAGCCGACTTGGGTCGGATCGATGCGGTTATTCACGTCGATCCTTAAATCCCTATGACCGATCCCGTTGTCACACTTTTTACGCCAGGCTGTAACGAATCCATTGATCGCGCCCCTTGTCCCAGTCCAGGTTTGTGCTTTTGCGCCGACGTCGGACAACTGGACAACCACGGGGCCGATTGCTATTTCCAGTTTTGAGTCTTTTTTTTTTACTTCTTCTTTTCTGTTGGAATACCACCCTGTTCTTCTTTTTCTTCGCTGCTTCTGATTCTCTGGTTGAAAAAGCACGCCCGTCACTGCGCTCTGCGGTCCCCTATGCTCCGTTCAGCCCCTCCGCTTCTTCCCTCTCGTGCCCTGCGTCTTCGCTTCCATGTTGTGTGGCCTGTATGGCTGGTATGAACTATCTGTCTTTGAAGGGGAGGGGCGTTATGCGGCCTTTGATGATGAAACTCGACCCTTGTCGCTCCCCTGTCGGGGGGTGCTAGGGGATCCGCGCAGGATGGCTAATCGCAGTGTATATAATAGAGTTGTTGTTCTTGTGTGTGTTGTGTGTTGTGTGTGCCTTTGGTTCGTTGGGCGCTAGAAACCACCACCGCCACTACCACCATCACTGTCCCAATCCTTTTTACGTAATAATCGACTATCCTAATAATAATGATGCTTCCCTTTGTTGGTTTATTTGGCTGTTGTAAGTAGATTCGTTGACTGATCAACTGTTCCATGCATGTATGTCTAGCATGCGAGAGTATGTGCATACTGGAAATTATGTTATTGCGAAACCCCCACCCGCCAACCCTACCTACCTCCGAATTGAACCGTCCCAATGATGTATATTCATAAACAATGCTGCTGATAGGAAAGTTACTGCGCCGCCGCCCTCTCCCGCTCCCGCCCCTCCTCCTCCGGCGTCTTCGTCCGCAACTGCAGCGCATGGATCCCGCCCTCCCGGCTCATCTCCTCCTTTAACAAGCTGTAGACCATCCGGTGTCGCGCGGGTTGGGGTTTCGAGGCGAAGGACGAGGAGGTGATTGTTACGCTGGTGTCAGAGTTTCGAGTTAGTCTGGGCTTATTTTCTCCGGGGTTGGGGCTTTGGGATTGGGGTTTGGGATCTGGCAATGTTCGATGTTCGATGTTCGATGTTCGATGTTCGATGTTCGATGTTCGATGTTCGATGGCCTGGGCTGGGCTGGGCTGGGGCCGAGGCTCACTGAAAATGGGTTTCCTTGGAGGTGGAGTCACGCATGGGCGCGTGGTGGGCGTGTTTGTGCGAGTCGTTGCGGATCAAGAGGGTGGTGGGCGTGAAGGCTGTTGTTAGCTGTTCGTGGGATATAACGTTAGTGTGGGTGGGTGGGTTGGATTGGGTTCCGGGGGATTGGGGATTGGATTCTGGTGGGCTGATTTGAGGTTGGAGGTTTTGAGGTGCCAGGCACGGTTGGCTCGGGGGAAGGGCGGCTCACCTTTTCGCGGATGAGGTCTTCAACTGGCGTGTTGGAGGTCATTTTGGCGGTGGCGGTGGCGGTGGTTGAGAAGAACTGGCGGCTGCAGCTGGTAGGTCGGAGGAGGAGGCCTGGGAGGCGGGTGGTGCGGAGAAGCATTGATTTCTTGTTCTGTTGGATCGGAGGAGGTGAGGGCCGTGGGGGGTTGAGGTGGGAGATTCGGATTGCTTCAGGTACGGACGATTGATCGGGGTAGAGGCGGAATGGGCCGAGGGTTGTAGAGGTCTATGCAGTGGAACTGATGGAGGGTGTGGTTGTTGTGTCGAGCGGAGGGTTCAATTGGAGCGGGATGGAATTAATCGCATTGAACTGGTGCAGTGGATGGTACCGGGGGTCGCTGAGAATCCGATGGCGGTAATTGGCCGGGCCCGCGGCAGGCTGATGCGTTGCTACTTTGGGATTAGCGGGGTGCTGCAGTGCAGTGCCTCCGCGGACTTCAATATATTGTACACCTGCTGTACATCGTACCATGCCTATAACAAGTCAATGGCCAACCTGATCGCATCGCTTCATGTCTTCATGTCTGTTAGACTCTAAATTACAGGGCAATGGTTCCCACAGTCTAACGGTGGTCAAGACTGTTGTCTTTTTTTATCCTATTTTCGAGCATTCAAGAGCAGTCTGCCCTCAATAAGAAGTAGAAAGGTCCCGGGCTCGTAGGGGTCTCTATACGCAGGAGAATTGGATTGCAGTATCGTTGGTGTTCTTTATTGTGCCCCGGGCTACGGATTGGTTGGCTGTTAACTAACAGAGCACTTCGCTAACCTCGCTGACAGTCATACATCGAGGACACTCGCACCGCCAGTCTTCCGCAGCAAGCATTCCAGAATGAGTATGGCTGGTTCCCACCCGTCACTGATGTATTTCAGCGCTCCAATGCGAAGCATTCATTGGGCAGACATCTCAGGAAAAGGCCCAGTCTGGTGAGCGGTGGTAAATTTAGGAACCTACTTAAAGGTCAATCCTAATGGCAGCAAGCCTACGACAAAAGAACTATCGCAAGCCTAGCCATTTAAGCTGCCTGGCTGTACCAGATCTGTCGACATTCCTCAAGTTACTGCTACATACAGGCTAGGGTGGCTATTTGGTTATTTGACGAATGCCAGGCCAGGCTGGTGATGCGCCCAGTGACGCGCCAGTGATGCAGCGTCAGCCCGCCATTGAGCTGCAGATAGCCATCGGCCATGATCGCAAGGCCTTCAGTTGGATACACAAGATTGTGCTTGCAAGCATTCAGATTTACGCTGCTGTACAGAAAGTATCAAGATCAGGATGGTGCGACTAGGCTAGGCTAACGGGCTCAGGTGTGACGAAACACTTGCTTCTATGCAATCTCACTGACACGCTGACAGTGAGCCAAGGCTGTGGGTAGGTATTTGTCATACCACACCTACTTCATGCCGCAAGCTATGAAGTATAGCCCTATATAATATAAAGACTTATAAACGTGCGCAACAGGCAATCATCTATTCGACTTCACTATCCTGGTTGCGCTCCTGCTGCAGCAAGGCAGATGGCCTCTTCTACTGTTGGTGCGACCACCTCTCGAGATAAGATAGGATACCGACACTGTCTAGGTAGATGGCATTGCAAAGATGGTGATATCTCAAAGGCTTTGTTCAGATTTCTTGCTCTAGTATACACTTGTAAGATCACCCACCCACCGTAATGTATGTAATCCTGACGTGCTCCAAGCCTATCGTCTTCGAATACATCTATTTTCTCCCGGCAGGGAGAGAGAGAATACCCTCTCGAATACCCCATCATCATCCGCAAGTAAAGCATATCTTGGTTCATCTGCAGAATCCGAGAACATCCACCTTCCTGTAACACCCCTTCCCTCCTTCCATTCACCGCAACCCACTTCACCTGCCTGCAAGCCATGTCTTAAAAAGAGGGAAAAGGTAGAAAGGCAAAGAAACGGCTCGAACTCGAGCCACTGACCAAGAAGTGCAAGGGAAAGCGGCGTGATTCTGTGTTCAGGGATCTTAAGTGCACCTTGAAGTCGAGGTTATTCCCCCTGCCATTGCTAGACTCAAGCTCGTTCTAAATATAACCCAGCGAGGGGTAACTCTCTCCCCCGTATTTCCTCGTAGAAGGCTTCGGACGCTCCGCGACCTATACAAATCGAAGATCTAACTGTTTTATAGTTCCAGAGGGATACACGTGATCGCTTCCCCGGACGAAGCTCCAGACATGGGGAACCGCCGATAACCGGAGCAAAGGGTCTTATCGCAGCGCCGAGACCGCCGACTCTCCGCCAACCTCCGCGGGAGCTCTTCTGAAAATGACATCAGTTCGTGATTTCTGAGCATCTTTCACCCAGACTCCTGAACATGCACTGCATGCTTCTCCAAGCTTCATCATGCCAGGCCGCCCATTGATCTCAGTCCTGTCGCGGGGCTCAATTTTCTCTCCCTGTCTGGTCCGCCATGCTCGCGCTCGAGCTGGCCTGACACCTGCAAGTCGTCGATCGCTCGCCTCGCTGCCGAACCTGCCTCTCTTCCGCGCCCTCCAGAACCACGACCAATCCAACCTGGCGGTCGTCCACAGCGCATCGTCTCGCTCCTTCACGTACGGCAACCTGGTCGCAGATGTCCTACAGGCCAAGGAGCAACTCATACAATCTGGAGGAGGGCGTCATAGCAGGTTGTCGGGGGAGAGGGTTGCTTTCCTGGCGGAGAACAGCTACGACTACGTAGGTACTGTTCGGCTTGTCCTGTTTCCTCTCCGCATACTTGAGAACAGGTCCTTGAACTGACCGCGACGGCAGTGACGCTTCTCTCGATCCTCGCCAGCGACGCGATCGCCCTCCCCCTCTCCCCTGCTTTCCCGGTCGGCGAACTCAAGTACATCATGGACAATTCGCAGGCCAAGGTCCTGCTGGCCACGGAAAAGTACGCCAACAAAGCCCAGGACGTCCTGAAAGCCGGACTGGACCGGGAACCCATCCTTGACGTGAAGAAGAAGATCGAAGTGGGAGCCACGAGTCTGGGCCCCTCGTCGGTGACCCTGGAAGACGTTACAGGACAGCAACCCCGCGGTGGGATGATGCTGTACACCTCCGGGACCACGAACCGACCGGTACGGAAGCTATCTTTTCCTTTTCATCTTCATCCTCCAAGAAAGTAAGGGACGGTGCTGACACACCAGCGCAGAAAGGCGTCCTGATCCCGCAATCCGCGCTGACGGCGCAAGCGGCCTCGCTCCTCCAAGCATGGGAGTACACCGCGCAGGACCGGCTCCTCCACCTGCTCCCTCTGCACCACATCCACGGCACGGTCAACGCGATCGTGACGCCGGTCCTGGCCGGCTCGTCCATCGAGTTCATGTTCCCGTTCAACGCGGACGCAGTGTGGAAGCGGCTCGCCGCCCCGTTCCTTCCGGAGTCGGTGCCTGACCCACAGAAGAAGAAGAAGGAGATCATCACCTTCCTCACCGCCGTCCCGACCATCTACAACCGCCTACTCTCGTCCTTCCCCACCCTCGAACCGGAGGTTCAAACCGCGGCCCGCACGGCCATCCGCCCGGCGAACCTGCGGCTGAACATCTCAGGGTCCGCGGCGCTGCCGACGCCCACGAAGCAGGCGTGGCAGGCCCTCAGCGACGGCAACGTGCTGCTGGAGCGCTACGGGATGACGGAGGTGGGGATGGCGATCAGCTGCGGGCTGGCAGTCGGCGACCGCGTCGACGGCAGCGTCGGCTGGCCGCTGCCGTCCGTGGAGGCGCGGCTGGTCGACACGGACACGGACGAGGTCATCCGGCCGGGCCAGGAGATCGACCCGCGCACCGGCCGCGAGCGCGAGGGCGAGATCCAGCTCCGCGGGCCCACCATCTTCCAGGAGTACTGGGCCAACGCCGCCGCCACGCGCGAGTCCTTCGTGCCCGCCGAAGATACCCGGGGTGACTGGTTCAAGACGGGCGACGTCGCGACCCGCCGCCTCGTCGAGGGCGCCGGCTCCGGCGCCAGTGGCGACTGGGCCCGGGGCCCCATGTACTTCATCCAGGGCCGCCGCAGCGTCGACATCATCAAGACCGGCGGCGAGAAGGTCAGCGCCCTGGAGGTCGAGCGCGAGTTGCTTTCGCTGTACGTATACTACCCCTTTACCCAACCCTGATCTGAGTCTTCCCCCTCTCCCCACGCTAACCCCTCTTGCTGCGCGGCACAGCCCTCAAATTTCAGAAGCTGCGGTCGTGGGCCTCCCCTCCGACCAATGGGGCCAGAAGGTCGCAGCCGTGGTGGTGCTGAACCCGGAATTCGCGACCACGGGCGGCCGGAACGGTAAGCCCTGGGGCGCCATGGACATGCGGCGCGCCCTGAAGGATCGGCTGGCGAATTACAAGCTGCCGCAGGAGATGAAGGTCCTGAGTGGACCTATTCCGCGGAATGCCATGGGCAAGGGTATGTCCCCAGTTCTATCTTCTCTGTTCTCTTGTTTCTCTTCTTCTTCTTGAGGGCGGTGGCTAATTCTTTTGCAGTCAATAAGAAGACGCTCGTCAAGGAGGTGTTTGGTGCTTGAGTTGATGGGTTTGATTAGGTAGCTTTTGGGCTGTATATCTCCCTCAGAGCATACGTGGGGTTCACGGTTGAATATACTTGAATATGCAGGGAATATTACTGTACCGAGTTTCCGGGTGGTTGACTGTTATAGAATGTTGTCCAGCATGTGGATATCGCTTACGCAAATACACCTACAGAGTACTTCCAAAAGACAGTTGTACAGACGTCGCTAAAATAAGAGAGAGAGATGGTATACTATGTATCTTACATGGTGCACAATGGCATGAAACAATATACACCCAGAAGCCAGATTGTACACATACACACACACACACACACACACACACACACACATCCCGCTAAGCCATGGTAGGTCTATACGCCCCCAACATTGACTGCGCAGGCGAGCCACAGATGAACCGGGTCGCCTCCACGACGACCAGCATCCGGTCCATATCGACAAGCGTGACCTTGGCCTCCACCAGACTCATGACATCCA